TTTGACATACTTTGTGATTTTAAAACTGATGCAACATTCAGTTACTTCAAAAAATTTGTGACATTGAATAAACATGTAACACCAATCCATTCTTCTTCTATTTTGTGGTCTTAAAACTGGTGCAAAATCTGTCACTTAAAATTTTTATTTAGAATTAGTTTATGGAACTTTTCTTTGCACCATACTCTGAACCATTATATTTTGTCCATATAGAATAATTTGATTATGTTACATATTTGATAAAGATACATAAATGTTGAGATTTGTGAGATACTGCAAATGAAAGGAGTAAAAATTAAACATCAACCCAAGTAACAAATCTAATAAAGAAGAGGAAGAGGAGGTTTCTGAGAAACACATAATCACAGATCTGATTACTAAACTAAATCAAATTAGTTCTGACACTCAGATCTTAGTACATTATGAATAAATAAAAAAATTCAAAGTGGATCCCAATTAAATAAAACCAAAATTTCTGGACAAAACATCAGCTAATAAGTAAAAAGAAGAAACTTGAAAAAGCTAACAATTTGAACCAGACATCAAAGCCATACCCAGACAAAGCTGCACGGCGGTGAGGAACTCGACGGTGGACCTCTTTTGTTGCTCACTATGAAATGGTCACCTACAGTGAAGATCAAACAAACGTTTTCCTAAAAACAAAAAGCAGAGTATAATCTAAAGAGAGATTTCTAACCTGAAACAGCATAGAAAAAGACCTCGTGTACAGCTCATTCGCAAGCAGATCTAAAAAAATCGATGTTCTCGTTGAATCTGAAACAGAGGGGAAGCGCCGTTTTAGAGAGAGAGGTTTGAGTTTTCATTTTTACAAAATTAGGGTTACAAACGTGGGCTTCATTTATATAGGGAGGTACAAATTTTGGTTAAATGAATAATTTTTGGTTCAGAATTGTTGGTTCAATTTTGGTTTATGTATTGGTTAAATAATTATTTTTGATTTTTTTGGTTAAAATAAATATTTATTCGGTTTTGTTTAGTTTCTCTTGGTTAAGGGAAGTTATTCCCGGTTTAATTTTGGTTTAAATTTCAATTAGATTAATTTATTCGGTTAAGTAGACTTCTATACAACTTTTAAAACTTAAATAATAAATTTATTTTTACTTAATTTAAAAACATACATTTCCATTTACCAATATGAAAAAAATAATTTCTGTACATTTGGGTTACAATTACGGAATTTATAAATGTAAATTTGATACCAAAATAATTTTTAAAAAATTTTAAAATTAAATTTATAGATTTAATTATTTAGTAGACTTCATTTCGATAAAATGAAGTCTACTATTAGACTTCTTTTTACTTTAGTAGACTTCGTCAGGGTGTAAACGGTAATTAGGACATCCGTTTTTTGTTTTCTCATACAGGTTTAAATGGTCTTTTCACTACCCCTTTAGGTTATTTCTGCTAAATGTTTTTTCAGGGGTCTACTTTTGTATTCAAAGTCAAGTTTTGGGTTATTTTTAGCAAAAACCCCATGAAATAATCTATTCAAAATTTACTTTTCTACTTAATGGTTTTTCTTTGCTATTATTTTTAAGTAAATACGCAGACTGAGTTTTGTGTTTTATTTTTTATTTTAAAAATTTTTATTGATTGAAAAAATATTTGCGGAATCATATTTAAAATGGCAATTCTGCAAGTAATAAATTTTTAGTAAAGTTTAAGATTAGAAATTTTTTTTGTCATCTATTTCATTAGCCCATAAGAGCAAATAAGAGGTAGTTTTAGCCTAACCAGACCGATACAATATTAACAAACACTCATACAACATTAACAAACACGTCAGAAACAAATATGTTAATTAAAGAGAAAGACATTATCCACGTGTCAACCTAAGGTTTCATGCAAGCAAACTCATCTTCAACCTCGTGATATCCACCGCCAAAAATTCTCTACCACTGGAAACCAAACACCTTATGAAGAACTAGGCTTGCCAAGAGTAGCATACCTCCATCAAATTTGCTCGAATTTAGTCCTCGATTAAATCCTGTGCGTATTTCTGGTCGGAAATTTTCACTTCTTCATAAAATCATCACCACCGATCATCACTAACTCAAGACACATCACCCTTCGCCTTAGATAAGGCTTTTTAATAGGGGTCCAGGGGAGATCAAAAGATCCCAGCCAAGAGAGGATGATACCATGCAAAGTTGAAGAAGAAGAATTCCAACACTTACCACTGAATTTAAAAACCGCCGCCTTCTATAAGAGGAACCCATCTATGGAGGAGAGAATGCATGACACCATCTGAACACACCAAAAAATCCTTTGCTTTGCCACAGAAAAAGACCCACGATTCCTCTACCATAATGAGATCATTCAATTCATTAAGGATTAGTGAAGGATTTTACTCACAAAAGTAGAAAAATCGATTAACAAATATAGCAAAAGAAATTCAATAGACGGATGAGAAGAAATCCGATCGAGTCGGAATTTATTATCCGGTAAAACGGAAGAAAGATCCAAACAAAGTCAGAATATATACAACAAAAAACCGGACTAATCCGGTGAAGTTTCCAATTCCAGAAGGAAATCGGAAATCGACTCTCTCTCTCTCTGAAAGATAGGAGTGAGAGAAGAGAGAGATGGTAAATAGTTAAGATTAGGATTTATATAGTAAAAAAATTCCCTTCCGAAACTAATTAAAAAGTGAAAAAGCCTAAAAATGTTCCATTGAAACCTTGGATAATCAAATAAAAGACGAACTTACATGAAACGAAAGAATAGGTGTAATTGCTCATGGCTCTCTCAAGGCGATGGACTTTGTGATTACGATATCGTAACTGATTTCGATGGAGAGGGGGAGATCTGTTACTTTTTTATGATGATTCTCTTCTATGTTTATTCTCTTTTGATTCTTTTTTTTCTTTGTACTAGTGATAAAGAGTGAAAAGAATAGACATGGGTATGATTTTATTCATCCTCTTTTGTTACGAAGACAATGATTTACGATCTTAGTGCCGGTGTGAAGCGTTTTTATGGCGATTCTATTCAGACATCTTCAATCTCCATGGTGGGGTTGAACCACTACGATGTCATTCTGGTAAGATATTATCGATTTTCTATTGCACTCGTAGCGACTTCTCCTTGCAGATGGTGCCTTGGTCGAAGAATTTGGGATCCTGGAAAATCATATGTTTTATGTTTTTGTTGTTTCTAATTCGATTTTTTTCTAGGAATTTTACCTCCTGGATATGGTATTAACACCACGGAAACCACCATGAAGAGTAGGACGATTTTGAGCAGAAGATGCATCCTTATTGTATAGTGATATTCATATAATAGTTGAAAATTGGCAATCCCAAATCCAAAGAATCAGTGAATTGGGTTTTTATTCGACGAATATTTTTAACCTCTATTTGAGAATTGATGGCCAATGTAATTCATCAAGGAAAACGATGGATAATAGCTAAAGATAAAAGGGAGAATTAGTTTTATAATGCTAATTGAATTAGAATTTGTCTCTTTCATGTTTTTTGAAAAAAATTTGTCCTTATAATGTTTTATTGAAATTTTTTCCTATTATACCATTAATTTTGAATTATTTAATTATTTAAATTTTTATATTAATAATATTTTATAATTAGAAAATATCAGTAGAAAAGAGATTCTACATCCCATCCACACAATCTCTTTCTCCTCCATCGATATCAATTTCCGATAAATACACAATCTACATAGTCTTTCTCGTCTGCCTGTCTTCTTCGTTATCATTCAGTTTCGAGTTTAGAGTTTATAAATACTCAATTAATTTGGGGAGGTTTTTTTTTTTTACAGTTTTCTGTTACTTGTTTGATTCTAATTTTGATTATTGTCGCATATATGATTGTCGCAGTTTTCTGCATCAGCCACAAAAATCCACTTCTTCTTATCTGTCTCTGATTTTCATGAACCACAAGTCACATAGATATGTGGCATGTGTGAAGCACAAGATATTTAACTTAGAAAAAAATTGCTTGCTTAATATGAAAGAAGAAGATGAGAACGATGACAGCAAAAAAAAATGTCAAAAACTGATAAAAAACGTTGAAAAATTAAAAAAAAAAGATTTTCGGAATTTTTTAGATCTTAGAGTTAACTAATTTTCCTAGATTTTTTCAGATTTTGGTAGAAGATTTATTTTACGTATGTAGAATGAAGTCTAACTGGTAGAAAATGTATTATACGTTAATGTATAATGAAGTCTAACAGGTAGAAGAACCGTTCTACAATAACGTAGAACCTGGTCTAACAGGTAGAAGATGTATTCTACCAATATGTAGAAATAGTCTATCCAGTAGAAGTTGTAATCTACCAATCAATAGAATATATAAAGACCTATAGAAAACGACTTCTACAGACTGGTAGAATATGTGAAGAACTATAGAAATATGATTTTACGTGGACATAGAATATAAAACATGCATTCTACCAAGCATAAAACGAATTTTAAAAATATTAAAAAAATATTTTTTTTCCATAAATGATATACAAAAATATTTTTAATTCTTTTTTTGGTATTTTTTGAAAATTTTAAAATATACTTTCGAATTTATTTTCAATTATAACTATTATATCTGATTTAAAAGAGCAACTACAGTAAAACCTTTATAAATTAATAATGTCGGGACTAAAATATTCTATTAATTTATCGAATTATTAATTTATCCATAAAAAAATCAGTTTAAAAAACTAATTTGAGACTTAAAAAATATTTTAATTTATTGAGGTTTTAATTTATCGAATATTAATTTATAGAGGTTATACTGTATATCAAAAAGTGACAAATTTTAATTTTAATCAGCATTATTAAAGCGTATCAAATTTTAATTTTGCAAGTAAAATAAATCGGAGAAAAAAGTCGTCAAATTTTAATTTTGTTGATTTTTCACGTTGTAATGTTATTTTTTTTTATGTATGTTCGATGTATCTTAATTTTATATTAATAAAGATAATTGTTAAAAAAAACAAGACGAACTTACATAACTACAATACCTCATTTCCCTGTCTTCTCAGTCCATCAATTATGGCCTCCCATTGCTCGATGAGAGGAGCTGTGGGAGTAATCCTCCTCAGATTCTCCAATGGCGTATCTTCCAGATCCATTCTCAACTCCAGAAACAATCATCTTCTCACCATGAGGAACTCCCTCTCGTCTCACTCCTCAATCTGTCCTCAAACCACTTCGCATTTCACGCCCTCACGTGAAGATGACCGAAACTGCAACAAGCTTCAAGTCCGAAAGATTTGGGTTTCATCTCCTCTTTGTATGGGTCGTCGCTCTTCCAAAATCGCTGGCCGAAAGGTCCGTTTCCCCTTTCTCCCTCTCTTCAAAGTTCCAATTTTTGAATGATTACAAGTGCTTTTACGCTATTACGAGATTCTAGAGATAAGAAATTTAGTGGCTTTATAGCGTCTAGATATTATAATTTGTTGATGCTTACCACTTGTTTGATGAAATGTCTCAGAGTAAGAGTAGGTTGGATATTATTGTAGATGGAACATAACAGACAGCAGAACACAACAAGGAAAAATCCTTTTGAGACTAATATTGTATTGGAGGACTTTGAGCTTCAAGTTTCTGGTGAATACAGGGGGCTCAAGATTCGAAGAAGGCGAAGCTATACTGTAGAATTGGCAAGGAGGTTGTATCTGCGTAAGTCTCTTAACCTTTCTTTAAGTCAAATACTGTGTTTAGCTTGTTGGATACAACTTCTTGTGTGGGTTTATGACAAAGAGTATCATCATGCAGTGTCAAGAAAGGAGGACCAAACCCAGTTTCAAATACAGTTCTAGCTACCATACTTGAGAAAGCAAAAGATCTAGATGTACCGAAGGACATTGTGGAGCGTAATATTAAAAGGGCTTCTGAGAAAGGGCAAGAAGATTTTGTTGAGAAGATTTACGAGGTTAGGTCACAAGCTTCGATTCTAGTTTTATGTTTGCAAATGGCGCTGTTATGGTGAATCATCCTAGTACCTCTGAATTGGTTTTATATCATTACTAAACCTAACCACGTACTATGTGGTTACTGAACCTAACTCAAATTTATTACCTGAGTATCTAATTCAGTGTGATGATATCTTTTGCAGTATTAGAGTTCCAGTTTCTGGCTTTTCGGTCCAATTATAAGATTTGATGACTGTGAAATAAACTATTTTTTTTTATGCTTTAGGTATATGGCTATGGTGGAGTTAGTATGGTAGTCGAGGTCTTAACAGACAAAATTAACCGATCAGTGGCAGCTATTAGATCGGTTGTTAAGGATTACGGGGGGAAAATGGCTGATTCAGGATCTTGCATGTTCAAGTTTAGACGAGTTAGGGTAGTGAACATAAAGGTCAATGATGCTGACAAAGACCAGCTCTTTATTATTGCTTTAGATGCTGGTGCAGAGGATGTTATTGAGCCCCCAACTTATGAAGATGATACCGATGAAGATAGGGCAGAAAGGTATACACTTGAGAATCTGAGTTTCTGAGCACTTACTCATCTTCCTGGCAGTTTTATTGTTTATTCTAGACGATTCACAAGTATACTTTATGTTCTTGTTTTTTTTGTTGTTTTTGTTTCACCTGTTCCTTGTCTCTTTTGTTCAGGTGCTACAAAATTGTAACTTCTAATGAGAACTACTCAACGGTATTGTCAAAGCTACGTGATGAAGGAGTGAACTTCGAGCCTGACAATGGCTCTGAACTGCTCCCTCTGACTACAGTTGAGGTAATGAACCTTGCTCTGTTCTGTAACCTCTATGCCATTCCTTTTCTGCATGTATAATACCGAAAAGACTTATAGTTTCTACTCGTTATCGTTTAGAGCATCGTAGTTTTATTCTTGACGTGTTAAAAGACATTGTAGACTGCATATGCTGCATAAGCAACATTGGAAGTGGTTCTCTGGTAAGGTTATGCCCCCTGGTTCTTGGTGTCTTATTACAGGATATCTCAAATAGATAAACTTAGATCACGAGATTTGATCGTATGTGTTCTGCTTTCTTTCATTTTAACATCTCCCAAAAGAGACTCACACTATCGGTATTCATCAAATAGTTCACTGGGAAAATGTGATTACTCAGGCTGTTGTGGGTTGTTGCAGGTGGATGATGAGGCCATGGAATTGAACAAAGAGCTTATGCAGAAACTACTAGAACTTGATGATGTTGACGCTGTTTATATCGACCAAAAATGAAAAATATAGTACTGGATGCTTCATTTGAGGATATCTGATTTTGAGGCTCATCAGAAAAGTTATCAGGGCAATCTCTGAACTGGTTTTGTCTGAAGTCCGCATATATTCTGAAGGAGTGATGGTTCGCTACACACTTACGTTCACTTCTTCTAGTTTCCAATTTGAAGCTACAGAATCAAGACAATTACCCTTAGACTTCTTACTAAACTGTTTCTGAACCAAAGACTGTTTAAAAAAATCTATTTATGTTCATTAATCACAGAGCAAAATGTTTGAGCAGCTTACACATCCATAACTATACCTAGTGGCAAGGTGGGCAGGAACTCGAATTAATCACAAAAGATTCACATAGCTCTTCCTCTCTTCTCACTCTAACTGATGGAATGGCTCAAACAATGCTTCAAATTCATGTACGAACTTTAGTCACAATAGACACAGAACACAGATTTTCAGCCCAATAAGCAAATCTTTATTCAATTAAGTATTCTTCTTATTACAAGAAATATCTTCAATCTATTATATAATAGGAGAGTTTTCTCTCCAGCAAACCCATAAATAAATATGCATTTAATACATATATATATATATATATATATTTATTATTAATATATTAAGTATAATTAAATATAATAAAAAAGATTTTAGTGTTAAAAAAAATTACAATTAGATATTAATAATTAAATAACTTTGTAATACTAAGTAAATTTAAATAACTATATTTTATTAAAGATAATATATTATTAAATTGAAAAAGAATTAGAAAAAATAATGATAATTGAAAATAAAGTCAAAAGACAACTAAAAAGAATTAAAAAAATAGAAGAAAAAAGATAAATCAAAATATATAAAAAAAAATGAAGATGAAACAATATGAGAAGAAGAAGATAAAGAAAAACCAAAAAAAAAAAAAAGAAGAAGAAGAAAAAAAAATAGAAATCGAAAACCATGAAAAAGAATTTGAAAAAAAAAATAAAGGGAATAATACGAAGCTCATGAAGAAAAATTTTAGAAAATATGAAGACAAAGACGTTAAAGGTACAAATGAGAACAAAAGATGAAGATAACAAACTATGAGAATCTGAAGATAAAAAAAAAAGAGAAAAAATATTAAAAATATTAAAAATATAAAAATACATAAAATTAAAATTTAACAGAACTTAATAATATGATTAAGAAAATTTTATTGTTATATAAAAACACTAATAAAGATAACTAACAGAACAAATGCATTGTTAACACAAGACAAATATAAAAAATTAATTATTATACTAAAATAAATATCAAACAAATTATTTATTAAGAAATAGTATATAAAACATATAAAATAATAACACAAATTAAAATCCGCGCGAAACGCGGACTCAACCCTAATATATTAAACATGAGATACTTTGAGGCCACAATTTGCTGATGTATATTTCTCAGTATTTATCTATTTAATTAATTATTTTTATTTTTCTCCTATTATCTCCATAAACAAACAGTTTTGAAGTCCACAATTAATTTACTTTGCCACATGATAACCTCTCACTAATTCGACATATTGTAATTTTTTTAATACAGTCATACTATTTCTATTTCCAAACATTCTTGAAAACCATTATAGATTTTTTTTCCCCAAAAAAGCATTTCGTTTGAATGATAAATTGATTTTCATATCAAATTCAAAATTTAAGATTAATCGCTACAAATTATTTCTGCAAATATAAATTAATAATCGCTAATTTTTTTGAATATATATAATATAATTCCTGTATTTTTACTAAAGCAACATTATAAACAAGAAAACTTTAATATTACATTAAGGCACATTGACATTAAACTCAATAAAATTTCAATAGTAGATTTTAATATTATTAATTTATCTACATAAATTTGTAAAACATTGCAAGATTTAACAAAATTAACAATTCACTATAGATATTTATCTAAATAAATTCTTTAAACTATTTTTAAAATTAACCAAAAAGTGATTTTGAAATATATAAGACTAAATTCATTGTTATCTCAAATTTGTTTTTTTATAATTTGGGATTAACTAAAATATTTATGTTTTCATATATAATAATGTTCTTGCCTAACACATAAAATTATTCATTCTAATAAATATTGAATAATAATTGTTAATTTCCTTTAACAAAAGAACATATCCTTCAGGATTATCAGTATAATTTTCAGTTAAAAAAGGAAATTATATTTCCAAAATTACATGAAAAATAACAATTGAATATTAGGTTATATCTTTTGTAAAAATATATGGAATCTATACTATTATTTGCGAAGTCAAAAATCTGATGTGTCGTCTCCACAACGATTGTTCTATGTGTCATTATTAAAAAATATTATGTGGCGTTTTAATTTGTTCTGATAGGCCGATCATTAATCTTACATGGAAATACCCATGACATGTCGTTTTCCCTCAATTATGGGTCAGCAATTTTGTTTATAGACCGCTAATCTCGAAGTCGGTTATGGGCCACCGATATCAAAGTCGGTGCTAATCTATACTCTAGCATATCTATCGTGCTATATATACTTCTTTCGGTCTTCATGTTTTCTTACATACAACATCCGTCTTCTAAGGTCTAGCATCTTTTTAAAAAATTCATCTACGTTCTTTTAAAAAAATAGATATATACTATTATTTATTCATTTTCGTAATGACAACCTACTATTTTTTATAGTTCATACTTTGCTAATTGAATATTTCATCTCCTGCCTTACAATAGAATCATCAGGTAAATAAAAATTTATGTTTTTTTATTTTAGTTCGTGCTTTAAATGTTTTTTTCAGATTTAAATCAATTGCCTAATAGTTCTTTCCTTCAAAAATTTGATGAATTTTTTATAGTGACTAGCAATATTCCCCTCTGTGATCCTCAGATTTTGCCATAATCTGCCTCCATCTCAAATCATGTTTACAGAAGATGAACATTTTTTGATGATGTTTACAATGATAAATTTACAGGTCAGTTGAAATGTAATTAATACTATCCTGAAGCCATATCGTATATATATTCCAAATTTCCGACCCATTGGGTTTGGTATCATTAAAACATCAATGGCATCCCCGTCTTTGCGGCAATTCCAGACTGAGTATTATAGCCAACTGTAACCCTAACGCTGGCGAAGTTTGTTACTTGAGGGTTTCATTACATGTCGTTCGTGATCCATGTTTTTTATGGGTATAAGAACAATTAATGGTGTTGTCCACCCTACTTTCAAAGATGCATGTTATGCTTTGGGTTTAATTTATGATGATATCGAGTATGCCGAAGCTATCTATGAGACAAGTCAATGGGTTCTTGCTCCTCTCTTCGAATGATGTATAATGCTTTGTTATGTGCAGGTTCTATGATGAATCCTTTTCGTGTTTGGAGATCCATTCAATGTTTTTAGTATAAGTTTCGTCAATTATCTGCATTGTCCTTGATTTTTTTTTAATTATCTTATTTTAACAACTTCTTAGATTTTTCGTTGTGTTTTTGGATATTAACTATTCTTCCTAATGTACTTTCTAAATTTAATAATCATCAATAAAAATAAAAGACTAAACAGATTTCTAATTAGTTTTTGCTAATTAATAATTTATATATTTTTCTTATTTTTACATATTCATAATTGTTATTTATTGTAAAAAGGACTTACAAATAATTTTCCTAAGAAATTATATATATTGCTCTTACTTTTATTCACCTATAATTCTTTTAACTTTAGAA